CTTGGAGCTCAGCAGACACCTGGGAGGATGCAATCGCCCTCCTAACCACACAACTCGTGAGCATGTAGGGATGCAAACAGCTCTGTCTGTTCTCAGATATTTATAAGGGACCCATCCCCACGATATATCTGAGCGTTTCACACTCTGTCATGTATTTCTTCCTATAAATGTACTCTTCTCCTTGCTCGATAGATAGGAACTATGCCCACGCAACAGTTTTAGACCCTCAGCATGATGGTGCACGCTCACAGCAGGACAGCAAGGCTTCTGTAGGACAAATAACACAAATGGCTGGGGCAGGCCCAGGAAAATGCCTCCGAACTGGTAACCTGCCATATGAAAAGCAGGGCTGACACATCCTGGGGGGACGGGCAGCAACTAAAGCAGAGGGGCATCTCCAATTTTCAGTACTGCATTTGGGCAAATCGGTGCCCCAGCTCCCAGCTTTGCAGAGTGGGACCACCAACCAGACCCTACGAATCCCTCTAGGATCACATCTTCAAAGGCCAGTGCTCCAGTTCTCCCACATCCCCCAGACTAACACGGCACGCTTTGGAGCTCAGCTTCATTCAGCATCAAAGCAGGATCTGTGATTACACGCAGAGTCTGGCTCTGGGAAAAACAGGACTCCATCTGTTCCCGCTCCAACTTACTGCACTGTGCAGTCTTGCATGAGGCGCACGGCTCCGCAGAGCCCGTCTTGTTCGACCAAGGGGCGTAGGACACGGGATTTCACCCAAACAGAAACACCCTGGCTGCAGAATCCCTTCTTGGCCCAGTTCTGCATTTCACCAATGCCAGTTTTGTCTCCGGGTAGGTTGTTTTGATTAATTTCATTTAATTAATTCCACAGTCTCAAGCTGTTCCCAGAATGTGTGTGGAGCCCGTCAAGGTGGGAGCAGAGAACGCAAACCGAAGACGCAGCCCATTGGGCTCTCTATATATATCTTCCAAGAGGAAAAAAAATCCTCCCCACGCTACAGGAAGGAGCATCTCTCAGCCTCTGGAAGCCTGACAGCAGTTTTCTGTCACTCTTCTGTTCCCTGGTGGCATTTAATTCGGCAGTGTTCCTCACTAGGGGCAGGTATATCAGCATCACAAGCTGTGCCCCCTGGTCTTGGTTCAAAATTGCAGTTCTGTCCCTGCTTATAGGGTCTGGGGAGAACGGAGGGAATTTATACGTTGGTTCCTATGGGAAGGATATGGGGGAAAAGCAAAGCCCTAGTTGCTGCAGGCAGCCCTACGGACTAGGTTATTTGCCCAGTTTTGGCTCAGCATGCCTTAGCAGACATTCGTCAGCTGTTCCCGAGCTCTTCACCCTTCCTGTCCCTACAGCTCAGGTCCGTTTTACAGCACCTCTGTTTGCTTTCTCCCTTTGCCCACTCTTGTGTTGGGGAAACCTCTGCTCAGAAGGTCCCTGGGAGGTCCGTCCTGTTGAGATACTCCCTCATGACCAGAAGAAGATGCTTGGGGAATGGAGAACTGCTCCCCACGACATAGCCAAGGATAAAGGATCAGGCCCCTGGACTCAGCGCTAACTCAGCTACTTGCTGTGGAGCCAGGGCCAGATATTGTCTCACTCTTCACGTCTCTAAAGTGAGGTGCCTGGCCTCAGCTTCCTCTCAAGCTTGTCAGAGGACTGATTCATTTGTGCTTACAAAGCACAGTGAATCTTGCAGACGGAGAAGGCAAAAAGAGGTAGGAAGGCAGTAAATCAGGAGTGCACAGGAACATTCTCCTAGACACATCCTGCAAACTAGCACTGAGCGGCTTACATCCATATTATTAAACTCTCTTCGCCTCTGAAACAGCGACCTCGTGCAAAAGCCTATTGGGAAAGGTCCTTTGCCTGTCAAAACTCCTCAATCATGCCTGGACATTGTGTGGGACAGTCCTAGTGGGACCAAGCCAAACCATGCTGGGGATGTGCTGACACTTCACATAGATGATTGAGTTTGTATTCTGGGATCATTTCCTGACATTGTTTAATTTACTAGTAAAGACTTAATTATCATTGAAGACTTAACGCTTGTTCTATTAAATTACCCTCAAAGTCAGCATGGCCCTGATAAAAATCAGCAAGTGTCCCTATACCGTCGTGAAAACATTGCGTCTTCAGTCCTCAGTCATTACCTTTCCATCTCCTGGATGATTGTGGAACAAATTATTAAATAATCAGGTGCTAAGAAAAAGCCAGCCAAGAGAAAACCAAGAACAAATCATATCAAACCGGTTAACTTTCTTTCTTTGTTGCAGTAACTGGAATAGTGGAGAGAGCAGGTGCAGTGCTGAAAGCTACCTTGATGCGTAGTAAGGCTTTTTGAAGCAATCCTGTACAATATTTGTTATGGGTGTGCGCTCTGAAAGCAGTTACCAGTGGTCTGCAGTCAGACCAGGAGGACTTACTGAGACCCGTTCCAGAGACGTCACACCAGTTCTGTCAAGCAGCTTCTTCAATAACTTAGATGATGAAATAAAGTATGTTTAGAGTACATGGCTTGCCCCACGTCTGGAAGAGCTCACACGACTGTAGGCAGCATTGGAAATCAAAAGACCTTGACAAATTGAAGAAATATATCACAATCAGTCAGCTAAAATCCCTTAAGGCTGGTACAAAATACCATACTGAGATGCATGAAAATTAAATGCACCAGCAAAAAAAGGGGGGAAGAAGTGACTGGACCACAGCACTGAGGAAATGGATCAAGGAGTTACAGAAACCAAGAATTAAGTATGAATTACCATTGTGAAGGTGTTGCACCAAAAGGCAAACGTCATTCTTGGCTATATTAGCAAGGCATACTGCATACAAGACACGGGAGTGCCTTTTCACATTCTTAGTATCCACAAGGTCTCAGAAAGGCTTAGTTCTTGTTGGGACTGGAAGAAGGTAACAAATGGTACAGGCAATGCAAAATGCATGGGGTTGAATGAAGAGGGTTGAGTCAACCAGGGAGAAACCAGGAGGGGGGGATATCATTGAAGGAGGATGCTGGTCCCCCCATCTGCTGAGAACAGGTCAAGATGCAACAAGATCAATTAGGTTATAAACAGGAGGGAAACCTCCCTTGCTATCAGTTAATGAATGGTGGAACAGGTGTCGAGGAGGTGTCAGCATCCCTGGTGCATGTTAAGTGCAGGGAAGGCAAAAATTCACATGGATACCACCGGTATGTCCAATCCTGACTGGGTGCATAGATGGAAAATCCCCTGAATGTTCCTTTCAGACTGACATATGTGTAATCTTTACAGTTTCTACTATCACTTCATCACTCATTTTGACTGCAAGGATGTGACCCCTCCAGCTCAGCGGTGGTAGCCTAATCAGAGGCCCTGAGTAGGGTCTCACCCAGGCCTTATCCAGTCTAATTGCTGGATATGCGATTTGGTGTTCAGCTATATGCCATCACATCCTGGGCTCTCCTCTAACAGGCATTGTGCTAGACCATCCCATTCAAGAGATGAAGTAAAACCTATTTCATTCTTTTCCTTTTAACCCTCTTGCAGCAAGCGTGTTCTGCAACCTGATTGCTCTCACAGCTAGAAACTTCTAATTTCCAGCTTAAATATGCTTGTGGCCAGCCAGCAGCTGCTTGATATTGAGTAGTTCAAATTCATACTCATGTCTGTAGACATTTTAAAATACAAAAGATTATGTCATTGCACGTGAAAAACTTCCAAATCTGTTCTTCGGGTCTCAAGAAGGAAAAGATTAAAAGTTTGCTGAGGGAAAGGAAGTTTTTCTTTCTTGTGTCAGTGCATAGATGACCTGAACGACATTACAAAGGAAATGAAGATGTAACACAGCCAAAAGGCTGAAGAGGGGGTGCCAGCCCAGGACAGATCGAGGAGACCCAAGACCAGGAGAGCGGCATGATGAGGTTATCAGCCTGATGGATTCAGAAGGGCCAGGAGGAACAACACATGAATTAAAATCTCCTGCATGCGATGGCAGCGGCAGTGGCTTGCTTGTGAGGGAGGAACCAGTTCCCCTTTTGTCTTCCCAAAAGATGTGACAGCAAAGGTCACACTCATCTGCCCGCAAAATGGTGTGTGTGTGTCTCTGTGAAGAAGCGGGCATGTGAGAATTGACACTTCTCCCCTGAATCAATACTCACCTTTGTGTAGGAGAAAACGCTTTCTGCTGCACTGATGGCTATTTCATCCCATTGCAAACCATAACAGATGGGTTTTCTTCAAGCCTCTATGCATTTTAAGATTGTATTTACACTCACTAAGCAAGTCTTCTGCCTAAGAAGGGAAAAAAATTGCAGCCTCCTGCTTCTCCACTTTCTCCCTCCCCCAGTGCTTTGCTTTCCCAGGGCTGCAGGCTTGGTCCAACTCAGCTTCTTGACGTCCTTCTGACAGACCTCTGCTTGGAAAAGAGTTACCTGGGGCTCACCTGGGAGGTGGGAGCTCAGGCTCCTTCAAGTTCACCCGTGTAGACCCCACAACGTAGCCATGCACCAAAGCTGGAAGCTGAGAAATGTGCACTTACTCCTCAGTTTCTCCAAAAAGAAAATCAAACTGGTGCTATCACAGATGCATGCACCTCCCATAGGAAAATACAGAGGGGTTTTTTGAAAGAAAAGTTAGACACCGAAATTAAGCCTTAGTATTAGCACTCCTCCTATGACAGGGATACACATTCCTGAGAGCCTACCGAAGTTCAGTCAGCAGTTTGTTTAGTGGAAAAGAAAATTCAGCCTTTCTTTTTAATAAATGTTGCTGCCGCTGCCCAGCCTTCTGCTTTGGGGCAGCAAATAGCTCTGCTGCTCTGTCACGCAGCAGCGATGTCCTACCACAACGACAGACACATTTCAGCGGTGTTTCTTGCTCATTTATTATACCAGCTTTTAAACACAAGCTTTAACACAAAGCTAGCATTTGGGAAGGGAGCCCCAAGGTCAACCTAAAGCTGTGGGTGAGCGAATATTCAGCAAAACCACGTCCCCATCCGTCCCTTTATTTCCAAAAGCCACCCCCTGAGACGCCCTCACAAAGATGGCGCCTCCCCCTCCCCCGGCCCCTCACAAAGATGGCGCCGGCCGCGCCGACGTGGCCAAGCCCGGGCGGGCGGGCGGGGAGTGCATGCGCGGCGCCGGGAGGGCTCGGGACCATGGGCAGGAGGCGAGAGGGGCTGAGCGTGGCCCGGGAGGTGAGGCGATATGAGGCGATATGGGACGATAGGAGGCGATATGAGGCGACATGGGGCGGCGGAGCACCCGCAGGCTGGGAGCGGCAGCGCTCTGAGGGGATGTCGCTCTGCTCCTGCGCTTAGCGCTGCCTGCATCCGTGTGGGGAGAAACAGGCGTTTTTGGGCTCTCAAACCCAAACATAACAGCTAAAGGGAGTCTGGAAGGGACTGTGCTGACTCTCCGAGTACCTCTTTGCTCATCCTAGCAAAGAGAGTTGAAATATTTTTTTTGAGATGATGCAGATGAGGCAGTGAAGTTTGTGTCAGAGTGCTCACAACCAAGGTGCTGATCCCATAACTTAAACTTCCATTCAGCTCTCTGTTACCTTCTGAGCTGCTATGATTGATAAAACTTTCCAAATGGGTCTTAATATGACGTGATGCATGGCTGTCTTTGTAAGGCAGAGTCATGCTTGTTTAACTGGAGTCATGATGCTAAATGAATGCAATTTTCTATATGGACACTTATCAGATTAGCTCGCACTTACAAATTGCAGGTGCAATTGATGTAACCTGGTTTAAAGTGATATAAATGTCTCCATAACGTTGTGATGGCTCAAACTCACGCCGCTTCTGCTTTCTTATAGCTGTGTAGTCCTTCAGCAGGCAGCCCCATTGACAACACTGAGCCGTGCAGGACTGTTTTCATGAAATCCATCAGGAAAAGGAAACTGGGAAGGCTCCGGTCGATTTTGTAGCAATATAATGAAAGTGCAATGAGTTTGAGAGTGGCAGTGATGATCAAAAGTGGGGAAATTTTCCGTGCAGGAAACAATTCAGGAGACAGGTCCTTTTAAACATGAAAACGTGACTGAAGGGGGCCCAGTATAGGTCTATATCCTTTGTATGCCATTTGTAATTTGTAAACAAAGAATGGATGTTCGCTCTCTCTTCAGAACAAAAACAAGAGCCTTCAAGTGAAGCTAGCAAATGACAGGGACAGAACAAACAGAGAGGGGTTGGTTCGTCCCCCAGCCTGAAACTCCTTGCCATGGGGTATTGTAGCTCCTAAAAACACCCTTGTGGCTCAGACAGCTGGGGAGAGGGGACAGGTAGTGCTATTGCGTGCAGAGAACAGCCTGTGCTCGGTGAGGGCCTGAGCTCCAAAATGCTGGGTGTGTATTTGGAGAAAGTATTGTCGTGTATAGTGCCCAAATCCTGCTTCTGACAAAGACTGATCAGTGCCTGTGGAAGAGTATTGAGAATAGGGAAAAGGATGGAAGTGTTAGCATTTAAATTTAAACACTGCAAAAAATCCGTCTCTGCTGAACCTTTTTTCTTAATAATGCAGCCAAATTTGTGGATGCAAGAGCCACTAATTCTTCTGTGAAAAGAACTGTTCAAGTGTGCTGGCAGGTGACAAGGCATCAGAAGACTGCTTGGGGAAGGCTTTTTTCTTTGCCCCCACCTCTTCATTTGGCTTTGATCTGTTTTATGAGGGTCAGAAGACAAAATCCTCATTACCCAACGCTGTTGGATGTCAATGTATATGTGATGTGGCTCTGTGCCAGTGTCTTAATTAGGGAATTCATAAAAGCAGAGGGTGGATGCCAGTTCTTGAAAAGTGCTTTTAGCCTTTCTGCTGGAAAGAAAGCTTTTATTAATTCATTACAGAATGTATTAAAAGGGATCTAATCTAGCTCAACACTGTAAGCAAAGCTGCTTCCTTTTTTTTTTCTTGGTCTGCCTTTTATGTGAGCCATTTTGGGCTCCCTGCCCAAGGTAGTCCTGACAAATAAGATTTGTAATAAGTGCGTAAGTCAGTTTGGATTGAAATGTGCTCTGGGTCCCTCTGGTTTTAAAAAGTCTCCAGAGCGCGAGCAGGTATTGGCAGATTTCAGAGGAAATGGCTCAAAACCTTGTCATGCTTTGGAGTGAGGGAGGCTGTGTGTGTACAAAGCTGCTGGGACTTGAGTTTCCAGAGCGGCTCACGGGGAGCAGAGGGGCAGCTCTGTGTGCCCCAAAGTGCTGCCTTAAGCACCTGTCTCACTTGCCCCTTCTAAGGGGCACTACTTAAAGACATGGCTGGGAGTGGAGTTCTGCGTCCCTGCTGTGGAGCACGTGAACCTGAGGCGTTGGAAGGTGAGCTCTCCACGTGCTGCTCTTCAGCTCTGTCCCACCATCATGGATAGGAGAACCTTTCTAGGTTCTCCTGCTACAGCTTTACAGGCTCTGGCTCCCCTGGGAATTCTCTCAGCAGCCTGAGAGTAATCAGTAATTCCCAGGCGTTTCTAATTTCTCCCCATGCTTATTTTCCTCTTCCTCTCTCTTGCCCTGCAGTGAAGAGTTGCTTGCATGGCTTAGCTGCTAAGAGATTCCTAGTATGCAGAAGCAGGCCCTAAATCCCAAATGAGGCAGTGGTGTGTCAAGACAGCGCTCTGCCTGTAGTTCTGGTCATCATCTGGGGCTCTTCCTGTACATGAGCTATCTTCAGGAGGCTGATGTTTTTGTCTTAACCTACAAGTAAGGAAACTGAGGCACCGTGAGTAGATAACATTCGAAAATCCTCACTCTCAACCTTCCTTATGTCCTCTAATGCCCCAGACCAGCCTGAAGAAATAGCAGGATTTCAGAGAGAAAAAAATAATTTGTTCATTCAGCAATCTGTTCCTCCTTCTTTGCCTTTTTTTTTTTTTTTATTATTATTATTTTGCGTCCCTTGTGCCCCCAGCTCAGCAAAACCGGTGGTGCAGTTCTAGGGCGTGTGGTTTATTAGCAAATGATTGCTCTCCAGCAGGGGAGCCAAACTTGGGTTTTGATTTAAGAGCAGTAAAAACAGCTGCAACTTTTAATGTTTTTAATGTTTTTTAACTGTGTGATTCTGTGTGAACTTTTAAAGCATTGTGTGGAATCTGGAGATTTTTAGTCAGCAGAAAGTGAGAGCATTGGCAGAGTTGGGCTGAATATCCTTGCGTTATTCCTCATGAAAAGGTGACAGCGTGGGCAGAGAGCGTACCAGTGAGAGCAGAAGGAATGCTTCTGGTGGAGAGGATGGGGAGTGCAATGGCGTGGATAATGCAGTGGTGGGCTGGCAGCTTACTAACCAAAGCTCTCATTAAATTAAATTACTTACCATGATTTTTAAGCCAGAGAAGGCATGGGGCACTGTAATAAGTGTACTGGCAGAGGAAGAGCTAGGTGACACGCTAAAGTACCTCTCACCAGGTATAAATGAGGGTTTCCAACACAGGAGGAAGCAGAGACACCGCCAGTTGCAGATGGTGGAACTGGTGATGGAGGTGGTCGTTCTCAAAGCTCAGCGCCCTGACTGGATCGGGTGGGCACCCCTCCTGCACTCTGCCATTAAGTGAACTTGCTGATAAATGAGATCAGAGACAACCTGGGAGACTTTGAAATAGTAAGATGCGAAGGTTTGAGCCTTTTTCACCATGCCCCAGTCCCCAGCACTGCTGTGTGCTGTGCCATGGGACTGTTCAGCTGACTGGCTGAGCTCCTTGGTGCAGTCTGATGTTCTCCCCTTTATATCGAGCCTCCTGCCCCATCCTGCGTGTTTATAACTCCTGCCTGCCTTCCTGAACAGGTGTGAGATTGCTAACGAGCTCAGGACAGAGCTGAGCCCCGAAGCAGCAGTGATTGTGGATTAGTACCTTTGATTTCATTTTCTTTTTCCCATGTCACTGTTCATGGGGCCATTTGTGCTCTCCCTCTGGTGTCCAGGCAGTTGGTGTGACATACATTTTTAGTTGCATAAAGACATCCTGGGTCACCTCTTTGCTTGTGGGGCCACATGCAAAGAAACTAGTATGGGCTGGAACTGGATTGGATCTCGAAAAAGGTGCTGGGAGTGTTAGAGCCAGCCTGGCTGTATCTGGGGTACAGCACAGGCTGACCTAGGAGGTGGTGGGCTCCGTGCTGGGATCTCTGCGCAGAGCTGGGTCTGCTCCTGCCTTGTTTGGGGAGGAAGGAGATGGCGTGGCTGACCTGCCACCCTTCAGTGGGGACAGATCCGTGTTATTGGGAGAGGAAATGACAGCAGCTGGTACCTTGTTTTTCAGATCGATGGGCTGGAGGAGAAGCTGGCGCTTTGCAGGCAGAGCATGGAGGAGGTGGACCTCAAACTGCGCAGGGAGAAGCTGAGCCCTGAAGGAAGGTATGGGGGAATGGGTGAGCACCTCCTGCCACAGCTGTGCAGTTGCACACTTCAGCTAGCTGTCATCTGCTGCAGGACTGAGCAAGGGTTCTTGGAGGGATGGGAACGTGTGGTTTATGTGACAAGGCTCTTTTTCCAGCTTGGAGCTTACGTGGGAAACAGTGCCAGGGTGAGTTCAGTGATATATATAGAGAGATTTATCAAACCTGTATTGCACCCAGCCAAGCAGTGCCCCAAACTTGGCTGTTTGGTAGCAGAGCTGGGTCCTGGCCTGCTAGGAAGCAGGCTGGCTGTAAGCTTTTAAAGCTCAGCTGACCTGGCTGCTGACCTGGCTTCTAACCTGGCTTTTATAGCACACACAGGCAGAACCTGATATTTCTCTAGCACGAAGCAAGAGATCCTGCATCTCCCAGCTGATTCTCAGATCTCTGTGCCTGCAGACACTCTTCCAGTCACCAGCATCCTGTTGCTCTGCTCCCACCAAAAAGGCTGGGAAGTTCAATTATAGGCCAGGGAAGGGAAAGTTCCTGTTGTCTGCTTTCCTGCAGAACCCAGTTACAAATCATCCTGGCAGTGATGACTTCTCCACACCCTGATATTTACCAGCCTCAGCCTGTGTTCTTTTCTCCTCCTTTCCACTCAGTTATCTTGCTCTGCATGCTATTTCTGGAGCTCCTCTTCCTTTATTGGACTTTTATATCCCCATTCATCCCTAGCTCTTCATTTCACCAGTCCATTACCTAAATTTTCCTTCCTCTGATTACTATCTGTATTCTTCATCTGCTGCTGAAGTGGCCATCAAACAAACCTACAGCTGCAGTAACTTGACAAGATGGAATACATCTGTATGATTTCTCTCTGAAATGCGGGGCCTAGAGCAAAGAATTAAGATTAGGGATTTCTGGGACTTTTTCTAAATTTTACAACTTGCATGAGGTGGAAATGGAAATTCTGTTGCCCTAATCCAGATGACTTCCAAAACCATAGCAGAAAGTACTGTGATCAGCAGTAGCTCCCGAAGGAGAGCTCTGCCTTCCTGCTTCAAAGTTCAGTTACTGAGTTTCTTCCTGTCTCATTCTCACAGCACCTTCCTTGACTCCCTTCACGAGGCAGCTTTCTGAGTAGCACCTCAGTCATGCTGGCAAATGTCTTCTCACATCCTTTAAAAGACGTTTAGATATAGAGCTTAGGGATATGGTTTAGTGGGGACTGTTAGTGTTAGGTCAGAGGTTGGACTCGATGATCTTGAGGTCTCTTCCAACCTAGAAATTCTGTGATTCTGTGATCCTCCTGGCTGCACTGTGCGTTTCCTTTTTCCAGTTGCCTCTAAGGAGCCCTTCTTGCCTCTCCTGCTGCTTATGCAAGCTTGTTTTCTTGCCATCCCTGCATTTAATAGCTGTACACACAGGTTTAGAATCTCTTCCTACTGCAGGTTCTTGCTCTGCCCCAAGGGGAACAACAAACTATTACACTTCCTGCCTTCCCTGTGCTCTCAGTGATGAGATGATTTGTTAGTGCAGCTTTGTTTGTATGCACACAGGCTGAGAGGAGTGTCCCTGTTGGTGGAATGGAAATGCAACTGCTTTCAGGCAATTTAGTTTACTGTTATATTTTAAAATGTATTAATTAATCATCTTGTGCAGTTTCAGAGAAGGGCTGGGTGGGTCTGACTTACTCGTAACCTACTCTTGTCCTGAGTCTTCGGTCTGACAACAGGTGTTAGACTGTCAGATGTGCCAGAGGAGCAGGAGCCTGCAGAGAGCTTGTACAGACCCTGCCTCATCTTGTAGCCATGGCAGAATTTCTTACCCCACCGTGGGGCACTGTATCGGGGACTCTCCAGCAGACAGAGCACTGTTCTGACACTTCTCAAAGGAGAGACACAAAGCAGCTCGAAAGGAAAAAGCCATGTGAAACCACTGCATCCTTTTTGCTCAGCTGGGGGTTTCCAAACTGTCACCTCTCCACCGTGAAGGGTGAGGGGCTCACTCTGTGAGCAAATATTCCTGCTACTGGGCCAGAGTTTCTCTTCCATCATACGAGCAAAGCAATAGGCTGTGTTGTGCCTCGCAGGTAATGAACTCCTCTTCTCATTACAGAAAGTCACTGGAGAGAGAGAGAAACCTACTAATGACCAAAGCTGACAACTATGGTAAGAGCTTCATTAAAAATGGTCCCTCTGGGCTGGATGGCATCAGTGCTGCAGCTCAGCTTCATCTTCAAGTTCCTGCCACACTAACTTCTGTCTTTGAATTCATGCTCATCCAAACGGAGCAAAACGGAGGGAAATCTGGTCAGTGTATTAGGAGTCCTAGATCCTCCCTCTTGAGGCATGTTATCTTAGGGGAAAAATAGTGTATTAGCTGAAAAGGGGGGGGTAAAATGTGCTTTTCATGTACCCTAAACTATGTGTCTTTAGAAAATCTTAGCCAACAGAGTGGCTTTTAAAAACTTCTCCACTGTTGTGTGTGAAATTAGCCTCCCTGTTCTGCAGCACTGCAAGCCCCAAAGCTCACAGGTGGGAGAGAAGCACAAGTGTTTCTTTAGGCTTGGAGAACTGAAAGCCAAGGTAGGGCCAGTGAATTTACAATTTTAATTGATGTTAAAGGACTCTTTCCAGAAGAGTAGCAATTATTTTAAACAGCTTCAAACCTGTTCCCTGAGGGCCTACTGGCAGAGACAGCAGAAGAGTCAGGATGTGGCTGCCACCATCCCACAGGCTGCCCTGATGGCAAGGGCTGCTCCTCCTGGAACAGAGCACTCTGCATCTGCACCCAGCCTTTAGATCATCACTAGGGCCTCAAATTAAACCTGTACTTACTCCAACTGACACTTGAGGCCGGGAATGGCAATGCCATTACTCTGGCAGCTGAAGCTGGCAGAGCTGTGCTGGGGTTTCTGTCACCTCCTGCCCCTGCCACCACTTCTGCAGCTGTGCACATTGCACCACACAAAGACTGGGGGCAGAAAGAGCTAAAAGCCTCTTTTGATAGCAGTGCTAGTTCATTGTATTTGAGTTAGCTTAAGCACTGGGACAAGAAATGGGACTGAGAGTCCTGAACTTATGCCTGAGGAAAAAATAAAGAATAAAAATAGCTCTTTACATGCCCTCCCTTCTCTTCTTCATTGCCTTAAGGAATAAACAGGTTGTTCTAATGAAGCAGCCTGCCCTTAGTATGGTCCCAGAACGGGGTCATTTGCAAACAGGACTGGGACTGAAGCATTCTTAAGAGCAGTTACTGAGATTAGCAGGATGAGCACTAGCAAATGAGAAGGGCTCTTGTTAGGCTCCTTCCTGCCCAGCGTAGTTTAGAACGAGCAGCTTTGGAGACTGATCCCAAGAGTTGCCCCTGGGCCACGGTAAGATGGTGCTTGTAAGACTGTGTTGAAAGGAGACAGAAGAATGTTCACAGGCAAGGGTTTTGTTTGTTTCACAGAGAAGGAACTGAGCGTGCTTCGGAAGGAAAATCGCAAGAACGCTGCCCTCGCTGTGGCCATGGCGCTGCTGATCGCTCTCATTTACGCCTGCTGGACTATGTGATGACTCGAGAGTTCGCCCTGCTGACCAGACAGCTCTCCTGTAAGGAACTCTTCCTCCTCTCACCCCTGCACCCCCCCAAGGGTGAGGATCAGCATTTCAGGGTGCTGTTCTCGTTTGGCCTCTCCAAACCTCAGTGTAGGGAAGCTTTTTCTCCGAGAACTGAGAGGTGCAGGAGGCAGAGCAGACACCACAGCACACTCACGCTGGGAAAGCAGGTCGAGCATAACTCCAGGTGGAGCTGTCACACCCAACATCCAGTCAAGCCCCTCAGGCCTGGTGCAGGAAGGCAGTGTGCTCTTTTTGAAGAGGACCTCGCTGGCTGCAGACAGAACCGAGCTAAACAAAGATGTTCCCTCTTCCACACTGATTTCCAGGACCAGGAGAACCCTACCTCCATCAAAACAGATGGAAGTTGGTATCTCTTCTGCAAGCACATAGCAGCCAGCTCGAGATCTTGGTGCTTGGGCTTTGAGAAGATCTACCTACTGCTCCTGGTAACTGTTTTATGCCTCTGAGAATCAACACCTGCAGAAAACATTTTACTACCAACTCCCAGGCATGGAAGTGCCTGTGGAGGGCTTTAAATAAAGTAATTTGACAGTGTAGCTTCCAGCTCTTCCTTCCTTCCCCTGTTTTGGGATCCCGCTGTCTCCCATTTCCCTGCTGGCACCCTCTCCATCACAGTGAGGCTGGATGGGGTTAGGCACTCAGATGTGTCTGGTTGGCAAGGTCTGAGCTTTAGATTACTGCACTGCTGTGGCCTGGAAGCTGCCTGAGTATTTGGTTGCAAGCTTGAGGAAGCACTTGTCAGGAAGGCCTTTAGGAGAACAGGACTGCCTTCAGAGTTTGAACTCTGCAAGGCACTTTTGTCTCCGTGCGAACGCAAACTGCTGGCCCAGATTTTGTGGGAAACAAAGTAAATAAGCACTGCTGTGAACTAAAGGGGCTGTATTGGTAAGAGAGACAACAAAAGCAGAGAAATCAACACAAAATGATACACAGCCTAATAACAACACATTGTGCAATTAATGTACATCAACATTCCCTTCAGCAAGACCTTCCTCACCCCCCTTCCCAATGTAATCCCTCCAAATTCACCCTGCAGCAAGCAGCACGGCGCCTCACGCCTGCCTTCTTGGAGGGGGACTCAGAATCATGGTTCAGTGCATCAAAAAATAAAAATAAAAGCAAATTAAAACCAGGAGGAACCGGAGGCAACAGGGCAAAGAAGAAGTAGCCATTCATAAAAGGCAGCCTGGAGCTGTTGAGATTTCCTTTGCACCCTCTGAGGCCTCCAAGCTCCGCAGCACACTTCCTAGTCACCCTTCTGCCCGCCAGCCCCCAGGGGAGAGCAGAGCCCTGAGTGGAGTTGGGAACACTCAGCAGAGGGAGCAGCACGCTTTGCTGGCATCAGAACAGCCTCAAGGCTGTCTACAGAAACGCCAGACCTCAAATTACTGATTTAAAAAGCCAACTGCGTACAGGTCTGCAAACCACACAGTTGGAGGTGTTTTTTTTTTTTTTCTAGCCCCCAGGGAAAGTTCCTCATCCCTCGTGGAAGTGCCTTTGCCAGAGCAAACTGCCGGTGACAGAGCTCTCGTTCTTCATGGAGGGAAGCCCACCCTTCCTCTACTTTATATTTTGCCTCTGCTTGAGAACAGAGGGCAGCTACAGGTCATCCACAGGACCCCGTGACAACGTGCAGCCCCTCAACTGTTCCAGCAGACCTGTGTCTGAGGGTTAACGACCAACCACATGGAAGAACCTTTTACCCACATCATTTTATGCTTGAGCTTGACAAAAAATGGAATCACTGCCCTGCACAGCATTCAGAGCCATCTATCCATAACCCATCCACGCCCTACCTTTGCCTCCAGTTTCCCCAGAGCAACAGCCCAGCTCCTGTGCTGCTCCCCTACTGAGGGCTGGGGTTCTCCAGATACCAAGCCTGCACCCGAATTTGTCTGGTGCAAGGAGCTGGAGCTGTTCCGTTCGTTTACACCAAACTGCAGAGAAATAAAACATGGGCGCATGGAAATGACGTGCTTGTGAAGACACGGAAGTGCTCCAAGCTCAGAGAGCATGGCCTGCTTGTAGGGTGACGTTCACTGCATGCTGAGAAGGAGGACAAAACCTATACATGACGCTGGACCTTGTAGGGTGCGTGAAAGTGGGACTTCCACAACGTGCCGCCCTTGTTACGGCCTCTTCGGGAGGGGTGCAGGGCACCCATGCACCAATAAACCTGCAGATGAGAACTTGCATGTCTTACTACATAAAGCTTTGTCAAATCCTACATACAATTTTTTGGGGGAAAAATAAGAATCTAAGCAACTGCTGTAGTCCCAAGAAGAACTACAGCTTTCTTTAAGGCACAGTTCAGACAACCCATAAATCAGTTTCCTCCCTACTGCCGGTCTGTGTTCAAAAGCAAACAAAAAAGGAGGGGAACTGCTTAGCTAAAAGCAGTCAGCTGCGAGTTACCTTCTGATCTACGTGGAAGACCTGGCAAAAGCCTGATGGAAGCCAGAACTGAAGGTAAATCATGCAACAGAAGACAACTTTGAGCCCAGCATAAAAACACGTTGAGAGGTCTGCTTACAACACAAATTTCATGCTGAGAGCGTCACAGCTCTGTGCCTTCACCCCAGGTGTAGCGCCAGGGCCAGGTGAGACTTGGAGGGTGTCAAAGCCCGCTCTAGAACAGAATTCGGGTATCCTTTCCAGAGGAACAGTCAGGGGACAGATTTCTTCCTATTAACCAACGTGGTCAAAGTCAAGATCTCTCTTCGCCAAAGCCCTGGGTCTCCTAACAAAGTCCTATGCTCCCATCGTTTCCTCTAAAGACCCCCAGGATTGCAAACTTCCTTTGTCTTCCCTCCCACGTCCGCTCTCCTTCCTGAAGATTTGGGTCACGTTGTTGAGTACCGAGACCCAAAGCATCTTGGGCTCACAAGTACCGTGAGGCAGACGCTCACAAGTTAACCCCAGGCTGCTGCCTCGGGATCAGTCACTGACCTGGAAAGGGGGGGAAATCCTTTTCACAGCAACTTGTAGAGGTCTGAGAAACCCGTGGCACCAGAACATCGCGTCGGTGCCAGGAAGTCCAGTCATCACCCGCGCTGGCTCCTGTCCAGTGGGACACCATCACATCGGGATTGCCGATGGCCGGCCAAGTGCCTCGACAGCAGAAATGTCAGAGATACCAACGAGAATACGTACTTGCACCCCAAAGCTAGCATCCCCCCAGGAATTACCACCCTCCACGGGGTAGTGAAGGCTCCTCACGAGGCCAAGGAGATGGACAGCTGCCAGGAACAAGGCAGGGCTGCTTCAGCCCAGCCCTGCCACCTTCCTCTGCTCCTTTTCCCACTGCCAGGGAGGCACAAGCCTGGAGAGCCCTGACACGCACAGAGCTCCACAAACCTCGCTGAATATTTTTTGCACAGGAGCAAAGAAAGCTGCCAGCCCCTTGGCCTCATGCACGCAGCAGGTCAGGACAAAAGGGCGTTAGGCCTCGACTCCAGGAGGCACCATAGGTGCTCCAGCAGCAGGCACGCTGCCTGGGTCACGCTCCTATATACACTGCCAAGGGAGAGCCTTGTCCTGAGCCTTCTGCGTAGCGCCTCCTGGTTACATCTCCTCCAGGGAATCAGCTCTGGAGAGGACCAGGATAGCTGTGGAGTCGCCCCAGTCTTGTCAGTCCCTGAAGAATCCAAGCTGGGCTCAGCCCCACCCGGTGCCCCTCGAGAGGGCAGGGGGTTAGGGGTAGTGTGCTTGGATGAAAGACAGGACATCCTCCTTTGACAGCTTCTCTGGATCTTGCCTTTTCTGAGAGTCGTGCACTTTGACACCTTCCCCCCACTCCCAGAAGAGGCGGCTGTAATGGCAGACGCTGTGGACAGAGAAGAGAGCAAGATTAGTATGGCAGAAGAGGGGAAGGAAAACTCTGCCACCATGTTAGCCACAAAGTGCACTACAGACAGAGCTGCTCTTGTGCTGGGAGCCACACAGAGGTACTCTATCTAAGGGGTGCCTTAGAGAAAGGCCAGTACATCCATTCACTCATCGTACAAGCTTTATGGCCCATAATGTACAGGAACTTCCTAGCCTAAGAGATTTCCATGGAAGCAAACTTATTAATTCTAACTTCACTCAAGGCTCAGTTCGGTATTTGCTGGAAGGAGGCAGATCATTAGGGAAAACCTCCCTCCCTTCCCTCCACAAGTTTTTCGGAGGATGAAACTGTCATTGCAGGCAATGGAAAGGCCTTAATGAAGAATTTAGAAAGTCTGCCAGCAGAAGCAAGTAGTCTAATCACTCACTGCGAACCTACTAGAATCAGTAATAGCTGTCCTATAGAGCTTTGCAAATGAGCAGCACTTCGTGCTGTACAAAAGCAGCTATGATCATCCCTTCCTTCCCCCTGTGTGAAATAACCAAGCTCTACTCAGCTGCTGAGAGTTCCGGTCCTACAACGCCATCTCTCACTCCATCCATCAAGCACAAGTCCTCCCTCCCTGCATCAGCACAGTCCCAGCCATAATGAAAACAGAGCTGCTAATTACTGCCGACACAGCAGCCTTTGGTTTTGAACAAGTACTGACACCATATTCATAGCTTATTTAGTGCTCCTGTTCTAACAAAGCAGTACTAGCACAGCGACAGGAGCACATGTCAATGGCTAATTACAGACACGTTAGTGCTCACTAACCACAACACAACACTTCCCCTCTGGAGTCCTACACAAGAGCTCTAAGTCCTCAGCCTTTCATAAAGGTTCATACTGGCCCATTCCTGAGTACTTAGGCAGAACTAACCCCATCTTGAGGCCTGGAGGGGAAAAAAATCACCAGGTGCCTCTGCTTTCACAGTTTTAAGCCCCTTCTCGTATTTAGCTGGTTAAAGGAAGCTTAAAGATTATAAGTGCAAGTGAAAAGTAGGTAAGGAGATTCAAAGTAAGAGAATCAGGAGCACTTTTTCATGTCAAGCTCTCACTCAGAGGCAGTCCTTGGTAGTGGAGGGTATCTCGAGACCACCAGAGGGCAAAGAGTGCAGAACAGCTCCTCCCACAAGCCCTGATGTACCACACAGACACAGAATCTGCTATACTTAGAGGCTGCCTTGGCCTAGTACCCAATGGATACAGGTGGCATTCAGCACCCCCAGTGTTAATGACAGTCCAATGACAATCCTTTCCCAAGAAGATACTGCTTTTCTCTTACTCTCCCATTAAACAACCTCTGGCTACCTAAAACTTATACCAGAGTTTGGGCTAAACTAACTGGGACTGACTTTTAAATTAGCAACTTTCAGCGAAGGATCTGAACGTTCAGAGATGTAACAAACTGCAGTTTCAGGACTCCCTGTGCGCAGCGAGGTTCACTCACTCACACTGTGCTGTGGATGTGAGAATATTTGTGTTACTCATAGCAATCAACAGCCAGAGCGACAACTCCGGATCAGCAGTTTCCTAAATCTGTGAGGTATCAGTTTATGCAGCACACCCTGCTGGTGACTGAGCTGTGCTTGCAGTGCAAACAACTGCAAAAAAACAGCAGAGCACACCTGAACTCCCTTCTAAACATCCAGATGCAGCTACACCTTTCCACAGCCTCAGCTCTGGCGATTGCCACAGCTAGTACTCACTGAAAGGGCGCGATGGATTCAGAAGGGAGGTCGTATGTTGCTTGCTTGGTCATCTTGTTGAAGAAGAATTTCCTCTTCGAGTTTTTGCTGTATGCCATTGTCCAGGGATCTTGCAGAAAAGCATCACAGGGATTAGATCAGAAATGGAATGAGGATAAAAGCGTGGTATAAATGCATACATAGTGCAAGCAGGGACAAGGAATCTGTAACAGTGATTCTTCTCTTACTCCTTTTCCTCCCTCAAGACCACCTGCCTCCCAAACTTTTGCATTCACTGAGAAAATCCCATTCTCCCTGCATTTAAAAATTGACATTCCAAACAGGATATTTCCATGTACTTTTACTCTGGAAAATATCTTCTTGGTAAACAATTATAATCTTAAAAAAAAAAAAAAGGCAGTCCTGCAAATAAAATGATTTACCCACACAACAGATCAAAATGCAGCTGAATAAACTGTCACAGAAACACCCTGAACCTTTTCCCAGCCTAAGCCATGTTCACTACAACAGTGAATCTCTAGCCATTGGAACACTGCCATTCACTTTTTACAGTTACAGCAGGAGTGAGCCTAATCAATTACTTTTTACTGGAAGGCACAGAGAAAAAAAATGAAGAGCAAGGGATTCTCTCTTCCTACCATTCACAGTCCGTACGATGTAGAGTCCTGTGGGTACAAAGTGCCGGTCATCCCTGCCTGTGTAGGATAGCCGGGGTATTCCCCCTGAGCTCTTGATGACTTTCATCTCTAACCTAAATGTAGAGAGAAGACGGTGATACATATTGCTAAACACAGCTAAACACACACGTTTCTTCCTTCTTTGCCCTCTTGCACACAATATGACACCCGCACACCCCTTCCACACATCACAGTGAAAATATGACAGGAGAAATTGCCACATCCCTGGAAAATCCTATCTCTTGCTTCCCCTGCATGGCTAGAAAAAACTGCCAGAGCTGTCTAGATCAGGTAGCAAATCTAGTGTTGGAATGAAGGATCTGTGATCCACCACACTGAATCCAAATGGGGTTCCCATTTCAGGTATGACCTCTTAAATCTTTCAAGCCACTGCACAAATACTCAAGCACACTTGCTGCTCCTACCTCTGCAAAGCACACTGGCCAAGTCTGTGGCATTAGAGCTCAGCAGCATGATTCAAGAGCTTTACAAGATCTTTCTCCAGGACTCCTCAAGCACAGACCAGCACATCCCTCCCATTCCTCTGCTGTCATGCATTGGTGGCTGACAGTCTCCATAGGCCCTGAAACATCTCATTTCAGCCAGCCACTTACCTCACAAAAATCTTCTCCATCTCCTCCAATCTGTACACTTCTTTTACTCTGGGCGGGAAAGAAGAAACAAGACAAAAATGTGATTAAAAAAATAAAAAATTGAACTGTCCTCTTTTTCTGTCCCAGCTGTAAGAATCAACAACAGTTCATTCAGTACAGCATGCGGTGGCTAAGCACGACTAAGGTTCACCTTTCTCCTCAATCTTACGCTTTATTTCTCCTGGCTTGAAAAAATGTGACATCTGCTTTCTCACAGATGGGTTGCTGTGAGCAACATACAAGTGTCCTCACTGCTAAGGAAGCTGTACATTTTTACCCCAGGCTCAGTATACAGAAGAGGAAGAATTGTGAAAGTCAGGTGCTTTTGTTTTCCCATGAGGTAAATTCACCAAGGTCAGCCCCAGGCAGGTTCTGGCTTCAGCGTGCTGGCCTTGCAGTAAAAATAAACTGAAAGATCTTCACTGTTATCCTGAGGGACACCAAAAAACTCGCTAGCCACCTTGAGGTAAAAACAGTTTTGTTTTTTTAATCAGTAAAGATGATTTGGAATCATCATCCTGTTACGTCAAACTGCTTTTGTGTTTTGTTTTTCTGTTCTGAGATGAAGACAAATCACAAAGTTTCAAAAGCATTGCCTCTGATCAGACATCCCAACCACCTGTTTCACACATGCTGCTATAATCATCAGGCTTCAAACAGCACAGTTTGAACACTTTTTCATGAGAGCAAAGAACCCTTCTACGACCCATTTCTACAGCCCTTCTTGCTTCATCTTCAGCTCTTGCCAATGCTTCGGGCTCCTCCAGAAATTGTGACTGTCCTGAGTTTGAGTTCCCATTCGTCTATCATCAAGCAGAACATCCTCTTTCCTGTACTCCAGCCTCTCCTGCAATATCACGGCACTTCTAGCTAGACTGAAAGCCTTCTGAGACAGAAGCTGTTTTGTCCACAATATGTATCTGATACCCAGCACAACAACACTCTCGTGATCTGCTATAGCAAAATTAATGAAATCGAAAGTCAGGAGGCAACCAAAGCTTTGTTAGAAACTTTCTTGACATTGTAACTGAAAACCTCCTCCTCAGGCTAACCATCTGGAGATTGCAGACACTGATCAACATTGCATTTATCTAACAGTCAGCTTCTCTGTACCTCTGCTGACCCTTCAGGGCAGACAAGAACATAAAAGACTGCAATAAGCTAGCTGTGCGATAGACATCAGCACACATCTGAGACCAGCGCTGGCCAGTCCACCTATGATGAAAGCATGAATGTCTGATGTGTGAGAGGAGGGCACAAATTCTCTACTATCAACCTCACCCCAGATATTGAAAGGACTTACAGCCTCTTTCCAGTGAGACCCAACTATGAATTTCAGCTTAAAGTTCAAGTCCTTCATCCTCAAACACAGCAAAACCAAAGCCTGCAAGGCTGAGGGAAAGAGGAGTCACTCACCGGATCGGGTTCATATCTGGCCGGCTAGGTTTGGAAACAGCTTTGACAAACTTCTCCGCCAGTTGAATCCTGAACAAAAACAGAAAGAGAATCCTGCAATTGAGCTAGATCTCTGGTGCACCAGGAAGGTAACAGTTTCAGCTGAATAACCAACTAGACACTTCAGTACTTGCAGATTGCCTCCACTGCTTGCCAAATGGGCACTTGAGAAACAGTTTTTCACCACACCCTCACAGTTCAGTGCCCAGTGATACTGACTATTATGGATACTGACCCATATCCGTGCGGAATGGGTCTCCATAGCCTCCTCTACAAGCCCGTGTGTTGCTGAACACACTGATGCCTAAGTAGGCAAGCAAGACTAGGAGAGATATCATACCCCTTAGGAAGAAAACAGAGGGTCTTTCCTTCTCCCTGAGCCACTTATCAGCGATGCTCATGCATATTCCCAGGGTGCTCAGTTTATCCATGCTGTGCCTGGCTCACTCCAGACTAAGAATGGAGCTAGACCTGCCCTCACACACAGATACAGTACAGGCAGAGAAGGCTACACCCACATCACTTCGAGGTGGTTCAGTCACAGTTCATCACAACAACAGTGTTTCAGCTGAATGTTGAATGCACCTGGGTGCATTTAGCAATTCAGATGAATGCACTTGTCTCCCCGTGCTCAGCATTCTGCCATTAGTGTGAACGTTTCTCAGTCACACTGACATACAAGAAAGAAACTTCTCTAGAGCCTACATACCTCTGGTTGAAATGCTGGTTTCGGACATCATTGCCATTCAGCACCAAGACATCAAGGATGTGGATAGCACTGATTTTTCGCTGCGCTTTCCCCTGCAGAAAGTAATACATAAACTTACTACTCGCACTGTCAGTTGCTATTTCAGCTTCATTTTGTAGCTTTTCTTTCCTTTTTTTTTTTTTTTTTGGCAATGCATCATTCTCTTCCAGCAAGAGAACACCTTTCCAGATACTAGAAGCATGCCAATTCCCTGCAGCCCATTGTACAGTAACACGCCAGCCTCCAAGAACCAGCATATCTCACCTACACAGCTGTCTCAAGGGAGGGAGAGAAAGCAGGACCACAGCTACCATCACCAGCTCTCTGGCACAATAGTGCCTCATCAGGTAGCACAGCACAGAGCCCAGTGTACTACAGCATCCTCATTTGAGGTGCCAGAGGACAGCTGCACACCCAGGCAGCAACACCTCACGTTGTGAATATACCTCAAGGATCTTTTTCCAAGGCCTGCGATCACTACCGCACAGTCATGTACCTGAAGAGCCACAGAACAGATTAAGTCTCGGTGGCAATGTCACCTGCTGCTACATGCAGGCCAACAGCATATCAGGGTTTCAAAACAATGTTAAAAGCTCATCTCTCTAGCACTGGACAGAAAGAAGGAACTTAATCTAAAATAGTTTCTCTAAAGATCAAACGGAAAAAA